CCCCCCCCCCTCCCTCTCTTGTTACTGTTTTGGTTTGTTTGGTTTTTCAGCAATTCAACTATAACACGTTATATCACTCTATCTTTATTTTTATTTTTTTACTGTTTCTTGAAATAGTGTAGTGATGAAGTAGTGGAGTATTTAATTTCCAAGAAAGATAAGGATTTTAGGAAAGTAGGTGTTAGTATAGGGTGTAATTAGGCAATGGTGGAATCTGCACGAGCCCTGAATATGATGAGAAAGGTTACCTCCAAATCCACGCAAAAACTGTTGTATGATATGCTACTACTCTCTACTTTATTTCGTACCATACTTGGCATATCACACGCTCAATCACATTTTGCCAAGTCAAACTCTTCAAAGTAAAAAATAAAAATAAAAGATTTGGAATATTTTCATTTCGTGGACAAATACCTTCTTACAGGGAGAGGTACATGAATAATACTTTATCAATATTTATATTTTATGCTTTTTGTGAGCTAAGTGTCCATCGAAAATAATCTTTTTAAATAAAATTCATCTCTTATTCTTGAAAGGGTTTCGACCTTCTTGCTTCTTCCACTTAATAACGTTCTTCTACCAAGACCTTTTTCTCTGCTCAATAGTAATTTGTGTAATTTGCTATTAAACTTTTAGTTCTTTTTATCTTCTTGAACTGAGAATCTTTCAGAAACAGTCTTTCTAATCATCAGAATATGGGTAAGGTCTACATATAGACTAACTTCCCCGACCAGAATCATGATGCTTTGTTGTTGCTATTGACCTTTTAGGTAAATAACATCTAGCTCAAATTTTCAACTTTAAATTGTAGTAGACATTGCACTGTATTATTGACAATAAAGAATAATAAGTGGCAAATCTTGAAAAGCTACTCTTTGATCAAAAGATTATGTAAGGCAGATATAATTACCAATTGAACAAGCAATTCAGTTTTCGAAGCCATAATAATGAAAGTGGCAGATATGAGCAATCATTTTTTGACATACAAAACTACTACTCCCTTTAAAACACTGTATGTCACATATTACAGTGAACAGTTGGCTTTAGTTTGAGCACGCAAAGGTTTGTCTTTGTAGGCCATAATAGCTGTAAAGTGTTACAAATATGGCTGGTATTAGATTTGTTTTTATGCTTTCTATTACCCAATTAGGAACTTCGTAAATTTCAGAGAAACTTTCACAAATAAAACATGCGCCTCACCCATATTTGCAAATGAATAATAGGAGTAACTGGTTTGTTAACAAAAAGTCTCAGTAATTATTTTGGCAGGAGGAAAGGACTAGCAGTAATTAAATCTTGAAAAGCAGGTAAAAAAACTGTGCTGCTTATGTGGATAGTACATCATGCATTAAGGGCAGTAGTCAGCAAGTAGGGACCAAATCTTACCTGAACCTGATTTTAGGTTACCTGCTTTATTATCAGCTTTTTTCCTACTGTAGGACTTGGCCAAACTGGACATGCATTAACGTACACTTCAATTAAAGGGCCTTTCTTTCCTCTATTTTTGTTTTTTAATATTGGGAGATGGGGTGAAGCGGTAGGGGCGGAGGCAGGATTTCACAAGATAAATTTAAAAATTAAAGAAAAAAATGATAAAACCAAGAGAATCAGCCCGTGTACTAAGCTCCCATAATGTGCAGGGATTCGGGAAAGGACTTGAGGCAGTCCGGTGTACTAAGCTCCCACAATGTGCGGAGATTCGGGAAAAGATCGGACCTCAAGAGTCTATTGTACACATCCTTACCCTACATTTATGCAAGATACTGTTTTCACGGCTCGAACCCGTGACCTCCTAATCACATGACAACAACTTTATCAGTTACACTAAAGCTCCCGTTCATCTAAAATATATAGCTGTCTTTTAAATACTTTTTAAAGGAATGAAATATTGTACTTTTAAACGATCAATGTCCAAAATCAAAGTGAAGATAATGGAAGTCAACACTCATTCTTTGAATCACATCATTTATTATATTGAATACAGGAAGTACTCGTTATCATTACACTGCATGAACTACATATCCAAATTGGAGCCCAAAAACTATGCAAATAATTTCCTCTATATGCTCTAATAACAATGATCTTTTTTCCTCTTTCCTTAAACCGAGGGTCTTGGAAACAACCTAACTATTTTTCCAAGGTAAGCGTAAGATCCGTACATACTACGCTCCCGCAGACTACACTTGTAGTATTACGCTGGGTTTGTTGTTGTTGCTCTAATAACAATGATACACCTAACTTGAACTTTGACGTATCATCTCTATATCTCGAATACATATGCATGTATCCCTCTACAATTTATGCAGCAGGCTCTGTAAATTACACAGGCCTCCAGCCAATATGGTGTTTTAAATACATCAACTTCCCTACTTCTATACAGCAAAATTGTCGATCATGTGCTGTATAACATCTGCTCCATCAGAATTAAAGCAATAATTCGTTACCTGAAATTGCAGAACAAAGCAAATTAAAAGACTTGCTACTGTAGATAACCTTCCTGCGAAACGAAGCACAAAAGACAGGACCAAACGAAAAATCTTTGGCCTAAAATGCAGCACTTTTTTAAGGTGAAAGAGGTAGAGTTTTTGTAAGTTCAGAGATAAAATGCAATGGAGGATCTCTGTGTGACTTGAGAACTTGACAGTCCTAATGCTTGGGATATACATCTAAAAGCAGGACGCTTGATGTACTAAACTTTCCGTAAAGACTGATATTTTCTTTCTTTGACCCCCTCCTCTCTTCTCTGTTTCTCTGTCATATTAACCTAGAGTTTTGATTTGAAGAACCTCAAGAAAGAAAATCACAAAACTACCAAATTTACTTCTGTTTGTTGAAAACAAATAGTTCAAGATGACCATGATTTCTGTACATTTCTTTTTGGGATCAGTTAAGACATTTGGTTCGAATGAAACAGACTGGATAGTGAAGATTCATATGCTCAGAAGCAAAAGCATCAAGATAAATAAGTGAATGCAAAACAAAAATCCCGGAGCAAATAGGTATGAAAAATGAATTTGCCTAGGTCATAAGAGAATGGTATATGGTGAAATGCATGATGATTTATCATGAAGAAACATCGTAAGTAGAAACTCCTCATAGTATGTTCAAGACAGAACAAATACGTGCCTGAATTGTTGTGTGTGCAAAGTATCTTTGTTTACTTCCTTTGAAGCTAACATCAACTCGTTCCCAGCTCAACTTTGTTAAACCTCTGATCATAGCCTCTGCAGCAGTTAACCATGAAGAAAAGGTAAACAATAAAAAAGGATGATCAAGCTAATCATAAAAACGCTAAAAGCGGAAAAACCATGTGATGTGCATTGAGATTCCCCTAGTTACTTAAAGGAAGTGGTAAATTCTACCGTTTATACAGTTGAGACAAGTAGCTTAAGTCCGAAGGTGGGATTATATGTAAAATACTGGAATTAGTGTGTGAAGTAGTTCTATGCTCTCTTTTCATTTAGCTGGCACTAGTTTGATGCGTTTGAGTTTAGACTTTCTTAAAAAAGCACTAGAAGACCGTATACATCAAGAGATGCAACTATTATGCAGAATCAAATCATCAATGGCCTTACACCCCCCATGTTAGGATAATGAAGGTATGAGTTTCCGAAAGTGAAGGCTGACATACTAAAAATTGCTCCTCAATATCATAAAAAGAAGAAAAAAGACACTGACCTTCCATTTCGTTAGACTTGCGTCCATTTATTTTGGCCTCAGTAGGTGTTTCTTCTTGATTACTAACACTTGTTGGCTCATCTACATTTACAATATGTGGGTATTTATCCCCTTTTTTCAAGTTTCGACACTGAAAAGAGAAGTATTAGTTGTGTGATGCAAGCTTTTGCTACTAAAACTCAAATGTCATATAACTTTACCTTTGGAAGCTCATTTCTGCGCCGCAAAGATGATGTACTCCACCCAACAAGATCTATACAAGTGTCAAGGTTTTTGCAGTACGGGAAATTAGTCAACTGATGGGATTAGGGTTTCACTTATCAGCATAAGCACTTACCCACTGTTGAATTATCTCATCATGGAATCAAGTCACGGGCATCTGATTCTAGATATATAATACACTGAAGATTAAAGAAATAAGAGAAGAGGAAACGGAGAGTGACGAGGTTCAGGAGGATACAGTCAAAACTTGTATTTGCGTAGGCCACACGACGCTTAAATGACTGCAAAGCGGATCTGCAAGGGGAAGTTAGATATAATACATTTGCTTAAAATTCTGAAGTTAGTTGATGATCACTCACATAAATGGCAGATCTTCAGAATCACTGGCCATTCGAAGAAGAAGAGGAGGTTTCCCTTCATCACAATCTTTCAAAAAGAGATGCCTTCCACTTCTTCCAAGTAACCATGAGGAACTCGATGCAACTTTTTCAAGTGAGTATAACCCACAGAATGCTGGAGCCTATAATATTTTTAAGAGACGTTAGAAGTTGGTTGTCCTGCCCCCAGCCCCCCACCCACCCCGTTTTGGAAATAAGTAATAAGTATTGACATGAAAGAAGCAGAATGAAACTAAAGCAACATAGTTATTTGGGATGCTTGATGACTCATGCTACTAACTACGGTGCACTTATATGATAAGGAAATTTCAAAATGAAACTAGACCAAAATATTCAAAACCATACAAGATTTCAATGAAACTTCAAGAAGCATAAGTATTGATGCAGCTAAAATGCAATCATGTTCATGTTAGACGAGTTTGCATAACATTTTTTCCAGATGAGTGACTGTCCACTTAAAGTCAAAGACATTCGTGAGTTAGTTTAATCTCAAAAGAATGTCTGAATAAGCAGTATGCATGATAATGACAATCTTCTTTGAAACCCTGAGAGAACCTAGAA